GTAGTAGCGGTAGTAGTAGTAGTAGTAGTAGTAGTAGTAGTAGTGATAGCAGTACCACCAGTAGTAGTAGTAGTAGTAGTAGTAGTAGTAGCAGTAGCAGTAGCAGAAGCAGTAGCAGTAGTAGTCGTCGTAGTAGTAGTAGTAGTCGTCGTAGTAGTAGTAGTAGTAGTAGCAGTAGTAGAAGTAGTAGTAATCGTAGCAGTACTAGTAGTAGTCGTAGTGGTACTAGTATAGTGTAGTAGTAGTACTTGTAGTAGTAGTAGTAGTAGTAGTAGTAGCAGTAGTAGTAGTAGTAGTAGTAGTAGTAGTAGTAGTAGTGATAGCAGTACCACCAGTAGTAGTCGTAGTAGTAGTAGTAGTAGCAGCAGCAGCAGCAGCAGGAGTAGCAGCAGGACTGGTAGGAGGAGGAGAAGGAACAGGAGTTGTTGTTGTCGTTGTCGCAGGAGTAGTAGTAGGACTTGTAGTGTAAGCAATAGCAAGACTTGTAGCACAAATCACAATAGTAGCAGTGGTAGTAGTAGTAGTGGCAGCAGCAGCAGCAGCAGCAGCAGCATGTGCTGCAAGGGGAGCAGGAGGAGAGTGAGGAGTAGCAGTATCACTATGCATTTGTTCCGTGCTTGCTTCTAGTTTCGACTTCTCAAGCCTCTGTCGCCTTGGGATGCTGGTTTCCAAAGTAACGCAGGGTTGATGGAAAGGTCATGGAAAGGTCTCTTCATGCCTCATCGTCTGGTATTGCAAGGTGCTGGGTTGGATATAAACACTGAGAAAGCGAGAGCGAGGGAGGGAGAGAGAGAGAGAGAGCTACTCTGCAACATCTTCCCCGTCCTTGGCAGTTTTGTCCTGCGACAAACCATGACAAGTTCCAACAACAAAGGCCAGGGCCCTACGATCAGGGTTCATTGTCTTTAGCTTTAGGGCTCAGGGGCTTGCCGTTTAGGGCTTTGGGCTTCCGGTAGTCATTCCAGAGTTGTGCACACCGGAAGGACACACGCACGTCAACATCTGCCAACCAAGTCAAGTGCCTACATACTGATTAGAGGTCACAACCCTGCATGTGTGTAGTTTTAGTCTACGCTGCCCTCAGCCCTCAGATGGGAACCCGACCTGAGTCTCACTGTCTTGAACCCAGAGCCTGGCCCAATCCTGTTCCAGGCCGAGCGTGACCGCTGCGCCGCTCACTATGTCGCCAAGTACACCTTAAGGACAACGCGGGACGCTTCAGGCTGGCGGCTCGGTATGTCAGCACTCTCTTCTCGTAGCCTTGTAGCCAGATCTCCTGCAAGCACCTTGAACTGTAGCGAACGCCCACTGTCTGTACTGGCAACTGTAAACTCGCAGGTTATAGCACGTCCACTGCTTGGAGTCGTCTCCAGACTGGCAACTGCATGTCTTACTTCCATCACATGCCGCTATGGTGTTTGCAAAAACGACATGCCTTGCAAACGGTTACACCTTCTCGTTCAATGTCGCTTGCGCAGCACGTGGAAAACTCTGGGACATGGGCACCCTCGACCGAACTATTCTGCTGCGCACTACTCAACCTGCACCTGTCCTGCGCAAGGATGAACAAGCAAGACTTCTAGCCCTGAACCCGGAAACAGCCTATTCTCAGACTCTCAGCACGCTTTCGTCGTCCGAGGCATCGACTCGCCGTGGAAGCTGCGTCCTTCTCGTCCTGCGACTTGCGTGGGAGCTGGTAAGTAGACAGACTCAGGAGTCCATGAAGACTAACCAACATCACCCGCTGAAGACCAATCCTGGCCCACAGACAGATGCTTATGAACGAGCCCTCCCCTAGTTTCGGCCACGACGCTGGTCCGCTGTGCATGTTGCTGTTGGGAGAATACATGGGATGTCATTAACCAAGCGCCGCGCTCCTCCCACGCCTTCAGCTCGTTCTTGGGCTTGACAGGCTGCTTCGGCTTGGCTGGCGAACAGAAGACCGTGCCACAACAAAGAAGAGGGTGAGTCACGGAGAAGCCTTCGACAACTGCTTGTGACCTTGCCAATTAAGTGCCGTGTTACCAAGACGACAGTATAACGAAAGTTCGCCATGGTGTGCAAGTACTAGGATTCTCCAAGATCCACGGAAATCTGTGCTGGTCCAGACACTGAATGATGTCAAAGGCTGCTCGAAAACAGTTGATGCCCAGAGTAACCGAAGTGAGCTCGGCTTCTGAAAGAAAACGAGCACGGAGCCCGCATGGAAACCTTTGCGCGCGAACGGCCCGGATCCGACTCGAGCTATTGAAAAACCAGAGCAAGGATGTCGTGCACATATCAACCACAATTCCTGGCCTTTGACCAAGCGCTGGTGGCGCTCCTTCACCAATGTCCCGTCACTCTTTTAGTTTGCTTTCAAGAATATCCTCGGGTCCCAATAGCGGAAATGGAACAGCATCCTAGTACTATCGTTCGATTGATCATGTGCCAACAAACTGCTATACTTACAAGCGTCGGAAGTAGATATGACATCATGATGATGATGATGATGATGGCGATGATGACGATGATGATGATGATGGTGATGATGCCTATGGGGATTATGATGATTATGATGCTTCTGTACGATTGTGCAACTGTGGTGGCGGTGATACTTGTAGTCAGACCATGTCAGAATAAAAACAATCATAGCCTTGCAGCGATAGTAGCTGTAGGTATAGCGCGGCAATACTGACCATTGGGGGCCAGCAATGAAGGACACCAAGTAATCCAAGCACCAAGAAGCCGTTCGATGGCAAAGATCGTGTATTATCCAATCAGAAACGTGCCCCTGATGTCAACGCCACGAAAAACGTGGCAACGTTCCAATTTGTTCTATGACGCTGTAGTGAAGTATAACGATACAAAAACCAGTACACTTAATATTGGATCTCCATCGAGAACACGACTACCAT